CCATCTCTTTGGAAAAAGCTGTCCCCAGGGGCTGGTCTCCTGCAACCTCTCCCCCTCCAGCACGGACATGTGTGCCTCAGTTTCCTCTGAAGAGAATCAGGAAGCACAAATATTTACACAGTGAAAAGGCCTGGGGGAGGGTGCCAATGTCTCCACTGTTAGCTGGAAACCCTCGGGAAGCATGCGGTTAGCCTGCAGACCCGAGTCCCACGCAAAGGATGAGGGGCAGCTCCAGCACACGTCCTGCTCCACGGCCATGGCAAGAGTGAGGGTAATGGGGGCATCTCTGCTGAGAGGAGGAACAGAGCCCTCTTTCTTACAGACTGAGCTGTCCGCACCAGAAATGCAAGTTATTTCTATCCTTAAGGAAGACCTTTGCGTGGCGAGGAGGGCAGACAATGTTGCCTCTTATTTATTGCTGACCTCAGCACTGGCCTTGGCTGCAGGCTGGCCAGCTCCATGCCCCCTCTCACACAGCCAAGGTGCCTCAGGGTGGCCGGGGAAAGGGGAATTTGTGTCGTATTCATACCACGGTGACTTTGAAACCACTGCGCTGTGGAGACAGGACAATAGGCAACAGAAATCTGCAGCCTGAAGCTATCAGAGGCGAAAGGCTGCTGGCCGCTGCTGCAACCCGGCGTTAGCATTCACAAAGGTTTCTGCTTTAGTTTTACTGGGACACCCTCCTTCTCCTCTACAAACCCTTCTGCTCCGGCTCTTCCAGGCAGCACCAGCCTTCCTGGGACTAATGGGAGACTTGTTATTCAATTCATCATTAACCTACAGGAGATAGGCCAGCAGCCCGCCGCCGTAATAGCAGGATCCCAGCACTGCATTATGCAGTGCCTAGCTGGAGAGCTACTCAGGAGAGGCTCTTAATTGACTACCTAATGAAGCAGCCAGCTTTTCTGGTGTGAACTTGTGGGGTAAAATACAGAGGCAAAAACTAAGGCTAAACACAAATCACAGCGTAACGCTGCAAACAGGGATAAGGGTGTACTTCGTTCCAAACAGCTTGAAAGACAAATAGATAAATAGGGAAAATAATACAAGCTAGGGAGAAAACCAAAGACTAAACCCAGAGTCCGGGACTGTCCTCTAGAGACAGGAGGAAGACATAACTATGTCACTGCATTAGACAGCAACAATTTCCTCATGTGGGGCTCTTATCGCATTTGGCATCTTTGTCTACAGTTTGGCTGATACCAGCAAACACAATGATCAGGTTTTTTTATAAGGAAGCTGCAGATAATCAGTGGGAGTCATGCTGGCTTCAGCAGCACGGACCAGCCTGAGAGGAGACTTTGATGCCCAACGATGGAGAGCTCAGGCCAGCTCTGCCAAACTGACTCACAAAGTGAGCAGCAGGGAGGCTGGACCAGCCCGGGCAGGCGGCTCTTTTGTCAGCCCACAGACCGCTGACTGATACCCATCAGGGGATTCAAAGACCAGTATGCAGTTGCTTGTATGCAGATTGCTGCTCTCTCACACCGTGATAAGGCAAATTTAGCACAAGGTGTAGAAATAAATACTCAGTTGAAAAGAGTTGGTTTTTTAGGTCACCTTTAAGAAAGAAAGAAGCTGCAGCTGCACTGCCTTTAGTGATGCGGACAATGACAATCCGATGACCTTTAAAGCTGGTGACACTCTTGCTGGCTATGCTGACAGCTCAGAAGGAAACTTCGTCCGTGCCTGCCTGCCTGCCTGCAAACAAAAGGCAGGGTTTGCTTGTACGGCAGTGGGTCTGCAGCCGGTGCTGCCCACCCCCCCACCCCCCCGGGAGCCCCGCAGGCGGCTGGGCTGGGGGCGCGCCCGGATCACAGGCTCATCGCCGCTCCTGGGCCAAAAGCTGCCTTGCTGGGCTGGATTTCGTGGGCTGTGTCTGGAAGAAAGCGTGGCTGTATCTGGAGAGGATGGCTGCCTGTGGGGGGAGGGTGCTGAAGGAGCCCAACCACCACTTCAGACCTGAGGGCAGCTCTGCACGGACATACATAGAGGGACACAAACTCGTCTCCAGCCTCCATCCAACATCTGCTCTCTCCCATCTGCCCTTGCTTCCTCTCCCTCCCTACCAGCAGCAACAAAATCTCCTTTTCCCATTAATTTGGCCCTTGCTGGCTCCCAGCCAGGCAGACAGGGTTCCTGCCTACTGTCCCTGCCCACCAGCCACGCTCAGCCTGGCCCGGCCACTTCAGCTGGCTGGACCACTCCACACTCCACATTGCCCCATCCGACTCAGGGCATGGACCCAATGTGAGGACAAGCACAACCCCGCGCAGTCTGCTGGGATCAGGGGGAGTGTGTACAGGGAAGGAGAGGCAAGGGAGGATGAGGTGGGTCGGCAGTCTTCCCACCTGAACACCGGCATTCTTTGCCATTCTGCGTGCTGGCAACTGGCCTCAGCAAACCCCAATAGCCAGGTGAACCACTAAACTCTTTCAGAACTAATCTGCATCCTAATCATTAGCAAACAACAGTGGCGAGCTGGCTGCACCACAACAGCTCAATGGCTGGTTATACAGCTCAGGCAACCATCAGCAACAGCACTTTCCTCATCCACCTGAACCTCCAGACACCACCTGTCCTCCCCATTTCACAATGAATTTGGGGAGTCCCATTGCCATCCTTTTGCAGCAGAGTCTCCACATTCACATCTACCTGTGATCAGGTTGTGGGCTGCCTGCGCACCTCTGCCTGCCACGCAGCTGGGCCAGGGCCCATGAGCATGGTGCCTGTGCTCCATGCCTTCCCTTTGAAGAAGCAGGTAAGTGACCCTGTTATGCTCCTTTCTGGTTCTTCACCAGGCGTGGGCATTTTTTCATGCTGGATGTGACGAGAAGAAAGCTGTGTGTGTGTTTCTTCCAATGCACCACCAAAGGAATGTGGGCACAAGGTGGGCGCCCGCATCCCCATGCAAAACACACTCTTGTTCCCTCGGCACACAGGCACACCTCTCTCACCTGCACACACAGACCATACACAGAGCGGGTTTTGTTTTCTCAAGCCTCCTTCTTCCCAGACACACAATTCTGGCAAATATTTAGACAGAAACACTATTAAAAGGCCTTTGAGCAGCTCTTCCTTTCCTCAATAATAGTTCGGCATTAAACAGAATTATGAATAGTTCCTCTTATATCTGCCTGGAAAGCCACCGTCTCAGCCCTTGACAGCACTGCTGACAGCAGTCCCTTGAAAACCAGAGCTCCCCAGTTACAAACGCCGCTTCCAGGGAGAGAAGACACAGCATCATTGATCAGCCCTGAATTGCAGCTCCACAGGAGGGGGAGCTCCATGCACTCCTAGCTGAGGGACAATCCCCACTTAGCCCTAACAAGCTCCACATGTGCCAAGGAGAAAAGATGTATGTTTCTAGTCCTTGAATACAAGAGAGCATTTAAAGAGGAACCTTGCTTTTGATGCCACGCTGTGATCCAAAAATGCACTATCATGCGCTACTAACATCTTTACCTTCTTGGAAATGTGATGCAACAGAGTTGCTTGAATTTAAAAAAAAAAAAAAAAAGCATCCTTATTTCTGGAGACCATACTAAAAATCACATTGAAAAGGTGGCCAAAGACATCTCATTGTGAAAATCATCATGGCAAACAGCCTGGGAGACAGACACTCACCTGTCTTGTAGATCTCATAGCGCAGGGAGAAGCCGGCACCTTGCCGTGCGTAGTCCGAGGTGAACTTGATATAGAGAGAGGGGCCAGAAGAGATGATGGTAGGAGGTGCTATGTTCCCACAGTGCTTGCCCAGCAGGTCTGCCGCTTCACTGTCCCCATCTCTGATCTCGATGTAGTCATACCTGTGGAGACAGGTGAAATTGCAGTAAAACCATCTGTCAAGGAGATGCTTCAGGATGCCAGGAACAAACACAAAACACTTCTCTATATCTGCATATTTCACAGAACTTCCAGATCAGAAGTTTCACAGAACTTCACGATCTTCCAGACGGGTACCTGGGACTCTGTCACTCACACCACACCACACACCCTCCAATACGTTTTTTCCCTTTTGTCTGGCTACATTTAAGTCCCTCCCCCCGTTGCTCCTCACATCACTAATTTATTGCAGCCACATCCACTTCAACTTCAGAGCCAATATGCAAAATTTAGGACACGATTTGCCTCCATTTCCACAAGACTCCTTCAGCATGGGGAGAAGCTCAGATACAACTCTCCTGGGGCTGCTCTCCTTCCCTTACATCTCTCCTGAAGTGCCATCATGATACTTAGCACAGCTCAGTTTATTCCACTACCCAGGTGGGATCTGGCCAAGCATGCACCAAGCATTAAACAAATAGTCAATGTTCAATCCACGTGAGTAGCCAGCTAGTTTGTGCACTGTTTGACACCACATCGGTCCTTTAACAAGTGTGGCTGGTACACTTACTTAGCACGTGGACAGTAATACGGATCCTTTTCTGTTAAGTGCTATCAAAGCTTTCTGTGGATGAGAAGTGCTGCCTAAGAGCTGGGTGACCACATTCACTATTGCCTGACACTTGTACACCCTTTAACTGCAGCCTGCCTTTGCTAAACCCCACCTGGCAATGCCCCACCTGCCCACTGGCATTGCTCCTGGGCATCTGAACCATCTGGGGGAGGAATCTGTAGGTTTGGAAGAATTGCCTCCTGGTGCAGAGACAAAAGCATGTTGCAAAGTCTGGCTGGAAGGTGAAACTCCCACAGATTCCTTCATATTTTCTAGGCCATGACTAATGGCAAGGTACTATCAGGCTCTGTGTGCTGTGAAGAAACAAACAGCTTTTACGTGAACATCTTGTTCTTCAGCTGCCGTCTAACACCCGCGCTCTCCTGCGTCTCTTCTCCTCTCTGGCCAGCACGCTGCTATTTACAGAAACTGCCCATCTCTCTTCAACTGTTTATTCGCTTTGTATCAACCTGTTTGAACAACATGCTACAGCTCTTCTCATGGGGCCAGGCAAGGAAAAAAGCATTTCCAGGCTGCCAGAAATCTGCCTTTCTTCTTTGTCACAAGATCTCCTGTTCAGGAATGGAGAGTTGAAAGGAGAAGTAGCTTGCTGGATACAGAATGATCCTCATGTGACTCATTCCGGTTCTGCAAAGCACACATCGGCAGGCAACAACCTCAAAACAAACTTACAGGGACTCAGTGTGCTCCTCCACAAAGAAAGATGGCCCAGACAGCTTCGGTTTCACTCCTTTCTGGGACTAAATCAGGCTGAGAGCCAGAAGCAAAATGCCTGCAGATAAAACCCTGTCTACGCTGGACCAAGCACTCAGCTAGCTGCAATCACCCAGCCTTTAATTTCATTACGGACTCAATTGGCTTGGCCAAGGTGAAATGCAAGTGGTCTTGAGAAGAGGCACTCGCAGAGGAAGAGCATTTGGCTTAGCTGGTGGGTGGACACACAGCGATGTAAATGAAGATCTGTTCCCTCTGCTCTCCCCTCAGCTCTGTGTGGCTCCCTATCACCTCGTGACCCCTTATTACCCTGACACCGTCCAGCAGCACCCTGCGTGACCCCACTAATGTCCATCATGTGTGGCTTGATCCCACCATCTCCCCAGGGAGGAAGAACATAGAGGGCAATGTTAGTGCTTCTTTTAAGTAGAATCTTTTCCTCCTTGTTTGTCTATTTGTTTAAAGTAGCGCTGAGCAAACAGTGGGGACATTTTGTTCTCTAAATAACTACTTGCTTTCAGTGTGCTTGCAGCCCTTCCACATCTGAAGTACACATCTGTGCCGCAGGACTACTGGCTACTAGTGAAATCGTGAATATGTGGCAAAAAATTAATTTGGCAAAAACATGAATGTTGGCAAAACACGGTTAACAGAGCGGACTGTAAAAGCTGCCATTTGCATGGCACAGGCAGAGGTTAGCTGCATCCCAGGGAATTACATCTGTTTGTGTCCTCGTGGGGTTGTAACTCGCCAACACAGTACACGGCTTCAACTACTTGACTGTAATGATCACAGCTTCTCCTGTAGCCAACACACCAAACATCCTAGTGCTGTCCACATGGCTCCTCAAACCACTCAGTGCTGTAGGAGCCCTGGCAATTTCAGAAGCAAATTCTGGACCAAGAAATATTTGCTTATTGAATGGGTGAATAACTTCCAATAATACATACAATTTGGGAATATTGCAATCTGCTCATGGGCAATCTGCAAATGGAAAATTAAAAGAATGAATCTAGTAAGTAAATCATCAGGAAATATTTGCCTCTCTGAATTAAACCCTGTTTGGCTTCATCCAAGCATCTAACCGAGCTTTCTCCTACTGGAGTTAATCCTTAATAAATCAAATGTTACAAACAACTAAAAAAGCCCCTAGGAGAAGGTCAGGGAGTAATTTTTGCCAAATGCAGAATGAATATAAATGCATAGAGTTTTCTTCCCTAGTTAAAAAAATCTTGGCCCAAGCCCTCTGCTCCTCATGAGGCAAAACTCTCTTTCTTCAGGTCATATAAACAGAGCGTGAATTGGGAGAGGATTACACTCAGGAAATAACTCCTCCCCAGATGAGCTCCTCCCCTACTGCCTCTCCAACACAGCAATTAAGCTTTAGGCTTTCAAAATGAAACACCAAAGATGTCCGGTCCAAAGCATGAAACTTTCAAACTTCAGCAAGAACACTGGCTAATCCCCACCACAGACTCTTCTGGCATCATGCGCTTCAGTCGTGACCATGCCTTGGCCCACAATCAAACAAGCTGATACACCCCATTCTCCTCACGTTGGGTCACTGGCCATGTTAAAATCTAGTTTTGCCAGACCTTTGCTTCTGTTAAGCTTAAGCATGGTTTACAGTCTTTGTTCTTCCCGTGTGAAAAACAAGAAGAAAAATTGGAAGGAAGAAAACCCAACCCTGGGGATGCTTTCTACTCTAGCCATTTCATTTCCAGATAATTACAGACTAGGGCACAGCTGGGTGGGACATATTTATGCAGCGACGGCATCCAAACTGTCTTGACCAGTGTCCAGCAATTTGCATTTCACTCATATAACCAAAGCCATTGTTTCAGTCAATGTGCACCAACATCCTTGTGGGCTGACCTCTCTGGCATTACCTCCCCTGGGCAAGCCGCCATCTCCAAGCACATTTCATGGCCACTTCTCCCCATCTAGGCATTGCTCCAATGAGCCAACCATAAATTCGTGAGGGCAGGGTGCCGCATCCATAACCCACAAGTATAGTCAATGGATTAACCAAGTCTTCTTGCAGGGAAGGTGACTGCAGTTGGCTGCTCCTCCAGCGGCAAGGTATCTTCTTGTTGCTTGAGTGGGAAGGCCAGCCAGTTGGTTTGAAACTGCCTCAAACAGAGGTTTCCACCAGGGAGTTTTAAGGCAGAGAGGCAAAGCTGAAGTGCTTTTAACTGCCCAGACAATGGGGGGTTGAGAAAGGAAGGAAAGGCATTGCTTAGACGCTCCAATGCTTACAAATATTGCTGCATTTTTATTAAAGATTTTTAGTAGAAAGTGCTTTGCTGATGTTAAGAGAGCTTTTATAAACTAATTATAAAGCACTTCTAATGCCTGTATTACTCATGCTTGCTTGCTTGCTTGCTTTTTCCTCCAGTCAATCCTCTCTGCTTTCCAGTCTTTCTTTTCTCTCTATTTTCCCTAAGTCACTCTGCTGCTGGCTCTCCAAACAAGGCTGCGAGGCACAATAAAGGCAAACAAGCCCCAATTGCAGTGATTATGAGAAGACATCCACCTTTTCAGTCCTTTTCTGTTGCGAAACAGCTAATGTGCTCCCTGGCCATTGAGCTGTGCTCCACTGTCCCCCTGAGGCCAGCAGAGACCTCCCAGGTGCCCACCCAGGCACTGGTGAGCTCCAGAAACCCTCCACCCCACCTGGGGAGCAGCACTGGAGAGCCTGCGCCATTCCTCTGGGTGCTCCTCTCCTGAGGCACAGAACTCAGCACAAAGCACCGGTTTGGGACTCAAAGTGCTCCACGCATAAGCAGCAAACCTATTGCCCCTCAGCCCCAAATCCTAAGAGATGCTGAGTCCTTCCCCACTGAAACACGCTTCAAGGACATTACAGGGACATTAGCTTAGGATGAAGAGAAACATGAACAATAAATCATGTATATGTTCACAGCCATAATGTAAGTTCTCCTGATACATAAACTTGTGCAAGCCTTGCTTCAAAGCCCAAGGAGGGCTGGCTCCCCAGACCAAGCTCTGACCTAGCTGGCAGCTTTCTTAGTCTCTTTCCAGAGCTATGATTTGGAGTAGGTGAGGGCTCGTACGCAGCTAAGCCCAGTTTCCAGTGCTTGCCAGGGCCAGAGAGAGTTGCAAGGCTCTAACCTGAACTTCCCCAATGTTTAATTTGGAACTGTTATTTATAGGCATTTCCATGGGGCTCATGACTGCACCTGGCAAACAGTAATGATGGGATGCTCATGAGACCCTGAGAGGTGGGAAGGCAGAGAGGAGCAGTGGCTGGCCCAAGGTCACACAGGAAGTTTGCAACACAGCCAAGAATAGAAGCCAGCCTTGATTAGACAGATTATATTATATTGGAGGAATCTGGCCTAGATAGACAGAGAGACAAATAGGTACTGACTGCATGCCAACAGCCCCAAATTTGGGAATGCCCAGTGTTGACGTGAGCCTTCGAGACCTCTGGTCTGGTTGAACCATATGTCACGGTGTCTCGAATGCATCTGCTGAAAATAGGAAGAGAAATGGCAATTCTAGTGAAATTCAGCAGGCGTTAATACTCTGCAGGTAGCTGGGGGAAGGTGTGGGGAACCTGCTTAGCCATAATGTCAGCTGGTAAATGCAATTGTTCCCTTTGAAAAGGTG